TTCCTCCAACAGACAAGAGTTCTTTCTCCCATCCTGGACATCATTATACAGGTATATATATAGGGGGGGGGGAATTCCCCCAGGCAGGAAGCAGCCAGGCTTTGAAGCTGCAAGGCTAGTCAGTGTTAATCAAGGTGGCCAATTGCAACATTCACACCCACCCTGGACATCATTCCACAGATAGATAGATAGATAGATAGATAGATAGATAGATAGATAGATGTGGGGGATTCCCCCAGGCAGGAAGCAGCCAGACTTTGAAGCTGCAAGGCTAGTCAATGCTAATCAAGGTGGGCAATTGCAACATTCACACTCGCCTCCAACAGACAAGAATCCTTTCTCCCACCCTGGACATCATTCCACACACATATATATAGGATTCCCCCAGGCAGCCACCAGCCAGGCTTTGAAGCTGCAAGGCCATTCAATTTTAATCAAGCTGGTCAATTACAACATTCACACTTGCCTCCAACAGACAAGAGTTCTTTCTCCCACCCTGGATATCATTACACAGATATATATAGAGAGAGGGGGGATTCCCCCAGGCAGGAAATAGCCAGGCTTTGAAGCTGCAAGGCTATTCAGTGCTAATCAAGGTGGCCAGCTACAGCAGTCACACTTCCACAGATATATAAACCTTCCACAGATATATAAACCCCACTTGCCTCGTTTCCAACAGACCTCACAACTTCTGAGGATGCCTGCCGTATATGGGGGTGAAATGTCCGGAGAGAATGCTTCTGGAACATGGCCAGACAGTACGAAAAACTCGCAACAACGCAATGGTTCTGGCCATGAAAACCTTCGACAACACAATATCAAGAAAGACAATCCATAATATCTGCTTTGAACTGGGTTATATTGAGTCCACACTGCCATATAATCCAGTTCAATGTGGATTTTATACGGGCCATATAGCGTCAACAATCCTATAGATTTCAGGAGAGCTGCTGGACGCCAGGATTCTCTGCTGCATCCTGGAGGTAAGTCCCGTAAATGCTTTCTGTGCCTCAGTTTCCTCTTTGCGTGTGTTTGCAGAAAGATATGTGGTCGCTTGTTCCACACTATCGAATTTTTAGAAAACAACTCAAACTCTTATGCACACATTAATTGTCTGAAATCAATCTATGACAAACGAAAAGGGAGAGATTCACCCACTCCTGAAAACCAAGTGATATTGAATCAGTCACATTCCAGGTGAGTTTCATATGCAGATGATACCTCACAATATGCATGATTTTGCACAAATGTTACCAGATATGTTATCCGTTGGTTTCCTTGGATAGATTCGAAATGAATTGGGATTTTTCTTTGTGCATACAAACATGTACTTACTTACTTACTTACTTACTTACTTACTTACTTAGGCAATCCCTCGTAGTCCGAGGATGATAGTCCTCCAAGTGTAGTGTCTTGGCCGTGGGTCCGTAGGTGGCTGTGGAGCCATATTCTTGATCCACATGTTCTCCAGGTGGAAAGTGGTCCTGGTCAAGGTTGCCTTGACTTGCCTTCCTCTTGGCACGTTTCGTCTTTTCCCCCTCCATTCGTGCCTCTTCAAATTCTGCAGCACTGCTGGTCACAGCTGACCTCCAGTTAGAGCACTCAAGAGCCAGGGTTTCCCATTTCTCTGTGTTCTTTCAGTAGATTTGATATCGCACTGTAATTGCTAGGCACCACCTACCATCCCTCCCTCATGTAAATGCACACAGAGAAGGGTATGGGAAACTATAACTCCCAGGACCTAATCAAATGGAGCTATGGTATTTAAAGTGGGGTCCAAGAGCATTCATTCCACAGTGTAAATGCATCAATTGAAGGGTGTAAATGCACCCAGAGAAGGGTATGGACCTTGGAAAACTATAACTTCCAAGACCACAAAGTTTGGTGCTGTGGTATTTAAAGTGGGGCCCAAGAGCATTCATTCCGTAGTGTAAATGCACCCATAACAGGGTGTGGACCTTGGAAAACTATAACTCCCAGGAACGCATCATATGGAGCTATAATATTTAAAGTGGGGCCGAAGAGCATTTATTCCATAGTGTAAATGGACCCATAGAAGGGAGTGGACCTTGGGAAACTATAACTCCAAGGACTGCATAGTTTGGAGCTATAGTATTTATTAAAGTGGGGTCCAAGAGTATTGATTCCCTAGTGTAAATGCACCAAGAGAAGAGTATGGACCTTAGGAAACTATAACTCCCAGGAGGACTCCATCGCATGGAGCCATGGCATTTAAAGTGGGGTCCAAGAGCATTGATTTCCTAGTGTAAATGCACAAAGAGAAGGGTATAGACCGTGGGAAACTATAACTCCCAGGACCGCATAGTTTGGCGCTATGGTATTTAAAGTGGGATCCAAGAGCATTCATTCCATAGTGTAAATGCACCCAGAGAAGGGTATGGAACTTGGGAAAACTATACTAGGACTACATAGTATGGAGCTATGGTATTTAAAGAGGGATGCAAGGGGCAAGGGCATTCATTCCATAATGTACGGCTAATAATAATAATAATAATAATAATAATAATAATAATAATAATTTAATAATAACAACAACAACATTTGGGAAGTGTTGGACGTGTGATCTAATTCAACAGCCAGCAGAGTGATCTGCTGTGGACTCATCTTGTTGTGTTTCAGACCGGGACATGGAACCGAGACAGTCTTGGTCGCCTTAGTGGATGATCTGCGCCGGGAGCTAGACAGGGGGAGTGTGTCCCTGTTGGTGCTCCTGGACCTCTCAGCGGCCTTCGATACCGTCGACCACGGTATCCTTCTGGGGCGCCTTGCGGAGATGGGTCTTGGGGGCACTGCTTTGCAGTGGCTCCAGTCATTCCTGGAGGGCCGTACCCAGAAGGTGTTATTGGGGGACTCCTGTTCAACACCACAGCCTTTGACTTGTGGGGTTCCACAGGGT